GCCAAAATACTCTGACCTGTGCCAGGCTGGAGCAGCAAGTGATGTCATAGACAGGGCCTTTTGTACACCTGCTAATGTTTTTATAAATGTATGTTTTAATGTAACTGTGAAGCACTTTGGGCAACAACGTTGCAATTAAATGTGCTATATAAATAAATAAAAGTTGAAATGCTTTTCTCACTCTATCAATATCGGCATCTTTAGTGGCAGATACCGATATTGCCGAAAATACAGAATATCAGCAAAACCAATAATCGCTCGATCCCTACTTGTAGACTACTGGTGGAGGCAAGAACACTTCACACAATTGCCCCAGAAATTGTAGCTTTTCTAGTTGCCTATACAATACCAATTAAATTAACCCCTTAAGATCGGAGGACGTACTATTACGCCCTATTTTAGGCGGCTCTAAACGTCACCGGGCGTAATAGTACGCCCTCTGGTCTTTCCTTACTTATCCGGGAAAGAACGGAGGGCGTACCCAGGGATCCCTCCCGCGGTAGATCTTCCTCCTCCGGTCCCCCCGGCCATGTGAGAGTGAGGTCCTTGCGAGGACCTCACAATCACATGGCCGGGATAGCTGGCTTCTGTATTGCCAGCAGGGGGACTGCCTGTAATGACAGGTGGTCCCCCTGCTGGCTGAAAATAAAATAAATAAATGTTAAAAGTGTAAAAAAAAATAATATATACTTAGATATATATATATATATATATATATATATATATATATATATATATATATACACATATATATACACACGTACACTGTATAGGTGTATTTTACTATTAATATATATATATATATATATATAATTATATATATATATATATATATTAATATCAAATTACACATGATACTGATTAAATATATATATAATTATTGTTATATATAATAAAAAATTAAATATGTTAATACGTTAAAAAAATTAAAAAATAAAAAATAAAAAAATAATTAAAAAATATATAGATGTGTGTTATTTCGTTCTAACTGTATTGTGATATTAATATATATATATATATCAAAATATGCGTAGAACGAAATAATATATATATCTATATACATGAATATATACGTATATATCACTATATATATATACCTATATATAAATTAAAATATTTTTTAAAAATTATATATATATATATATAATGGAAAATTTATTCATACTTACCGTAATTTTCTTTTCCTGGTCATATGCCATGGCAGCACAACATTGGGTAGCTCCTCCCTATCCCCATTGGACAGGAATAATTATTAAGCTGTATAAGTACCACCTCCTACCCCTCCTTCCCCAGTCATGTTTTCCAGCAATAGCCCCGGGTGGGACCCTTGTGCTGCCATGGCATATGACCAGGAAAAGAAAATTACGGTAAGTATGAATAAATTTTCCATTTTCCTGGCCATATCCATGGCAGCACAACATTGGGTAATACCCAAGCAATAAACCAGGGAGGGAAAGAGACACAGACTCCAAAAATTTGAATGCAAAGTGTATTAACACCACAACAAGTGAAAAAATAGAAATCAGGCATCGGATACAGACAGAACTGATTTAGCAAATTGATCAGATATACCTGCTCTAACATCAATTTGGTAGCTCTTAATGAAAGTGTTAGAGGAAGACCATGTAGCTGCTTTACAAATGAGTTCAGGAGAAACATTAGCAGCGGCTGCCCAGGAAGATGAGAGAGCCCTCGTGGAATGGGCTTTAAGACCCACAGGGACCGGATATCCAGCCGATTGATAAGCCAGAATAATAGCTGCTACTATCCACCTGCTAATGGTAGATTTGGGAGCTTGTGAGCCCTTTTTACAGCCGCAATGAAGGACGAAAAGACTGTGAGAAGTACGCCAAGCAGAAGTCCTATCAATATATATCTGGAGACATCTTACTAGATCCAGAGAAGATAGGTTAGTAGAATTCTCCATTTCTTGCGAGTCAGACCTCAGAGATGGAAGAACAATATCCTCGTTGATGTGAAAGGAGAAGGTGACTTTAGGTCGAAATTCGGGAACCGTACGGAGGACAACTCTGTCTTTGTGAAAGACCGTAAAAGGCTCCTTAATGGATAGAGCATGGAGCTCAGAAACCCTCCTGCCGGAAGCTAGGGCAATCAGTAGAGCAGTCTTAATAGAGAGAGCATGAAGAGGAACTGTGTCAAACGGTTCAAAAGGTTCCAACTTCAAGACCAAAGGGAGATTCCAAGATGGAACAAATGGTTTAATAGGAGGTTTTATCTGAAGGACTCCTTTGATGAACCTGATGACATCCGCGTCCAGTGCCCATCGATGATTGGTTAGAGCGGACAAGGCTGAGACGTGCACCTTGAGAGTGTTATAGCTCAGCCCTTTAGCAAGCCCAGACTGCAGAAACTCCAAAATATTAGAGGAGGAAGGATCTTGAATATTAATGTTCCTGTGAAGGGCCCAGTCAGAGAAAACTTCCCACACTCTATAATAAGTGGCCGAAGTGGAATGCTTACGTGCCTTCAGCATAGTGCCTATAACGTCCTGGGAGAATCCTTTACTCAAAAGCCGGTTCCTTTCAGTCTCCAAGCCATGAGATTGAGAGAGACCGGATTTGGATGAAACACAGGACCTTGGAACAGAAGATCCGGAGTTCTGGGGAGTGGGAGAGGAGGTTCCACCAAAAGACTTTGAAGCAGAGGAAACCAGGGTCTTCGAGGCCAATAAGGCGCAATCAGGATGAGAGACACCTGCTCTGTTCTCATCTTCCTCAGGAGCGGGAGAATTAGTGGAAATGGGGGAAAGGCATAGCCCATCCTGAACCTCCAGGGGCTTGATAAAGCATCCCTCCCCAGTGCTAGGTGGTCGTCTTCTTTCGTGAAGAAAAGCTTTACTTTTCTGTTGGCCCGAGTGGCTAGAAGGTCTACTTGAGGGAGACCCCATTTGTCCACAATCAAGCGGAATACACTGTCTGAGAGGCACCATTCCCCCGGATCTATCCTGGATCTGCTGAGAAAATCCGCCAGCTGATTCCGTTTCCCTGGTAGATGGATGGCAGTAAGGCCCGCCAGGTTTCTCTGAGCCCACCACATCAGGTGATTCATGATTTCCATCATCTTGCAGCTCCTGGTACCCCCTTGGTGATTGACATAGGATACCACCGTGGAGTTGTCCGTCCTTATCTTCACCCATTGCCCCTTGAGATGATTCGAGAAGTGTTTCAATGCTTTGAGGACAGCCAGAAGCTCTAGGCAATTGGAATGAACATTGTTTGCCCTGAAACTCCATTCTTCCTGCGCAAAGTCGTGGAGACAATGAGCGCCCCATCCCCATTGGCTGGCATCCGTTGTCACAGTTATCCACGCGATATCTCCTAGTGGAAAACCCTTTGATAGGTGCTCCCTGTTTAACCACCAGATTAGAGAATGGCGTACATTCAGGGAAAGTTTGATGGGTTGGTGCAGGTTCCCGGAGGAGAACTGTCTCAGGAAATTGGCTTGGAATGGTCTCATTCTCCACTGTGCCCATCTGGTCAGTCCTATTGTGGAAGACATGGAACCAAGGAGGCTCATTATGGCCTTTGCCGGGGCCACCCTGGATATCAGCATTCTTCTCAATAACATCTTGAGTTTCCGTATTCTTGCTGATGAAAGTTGAACAGTGCCCTTTAGAGTGTCGAAGTGAGCACCTAAGTAAACCATAGATTGCGTTGGGTGGAGGTGGCTCTTCTTGGTGTTGATCTTCCAGCCGTGAGCTTGCAGAAACTGAATGCTGGTAATAGCATGGGATGTCAGAGAATCTACGTTGTTTCCTAAGATCAAGATGTCGTCCAAATAATGGTAAATCACAATGTTCTGTTTTCTGAGCTCTGCAATGAGAACAATCAGGACCTTTGTAAATGTCCTCGGAGCTGTGCTCAGTCCAAAGGGGAGGGCCCTGAACTGGAAGTGACCTTCTTCCACAGCAAACCTCAGAAACTTTTGATGAGTTTGGGCGATGGGTATGTGAAAGTACGCATCTAACAGATCTATGGACAGCATCCATTGGTTGGGTGACACTACTTTTATTATAGATTGTAGGGATTCCATTTTGAACCTGCGAATGTGCAGATGCTTGTTTAGCCTGTGTAGATCCAGAATGGGTCTCCATCCCCCTGAGGATTTCTTCGTTAAGAAGATGTGGGAGTAGAACCCTTGAGTTCTCTCGCCGGCTGGCACTTTGGTGATAACTTTCTCCTTCTGCAAGGAAAGGATGAAGTCTTGTAAGGCCATGCACTTTTCCTTGTCCCCTGGCCACTTTGTGAGGTGAAAGGACCTGCTTGGAGGATGCTCGAGAAATTCTATCAAGTAACCTCTCCGAATAATATCCAGTACCCAACCGTCGCTTGTGGATACTCCCCATATCGGTAGATATTGGAGAAGACAAGCCCCGACACCTTTGGATTTGGGAATTATATAGTCATAAATTCCTCTGGTTTTTATAGGAAGATGAACCGCGTGACTTGCCTCCTCTGTTTCCAGCTGGGGCTCCTCTCCCAGGTTGAAATCTGGAATATTCTCTGCCTGGTTTGTAGGACCTACTGTCACGAAAGGAATGGTACTCTTTCCGGGCACGAAAGGATCCTTTATACTTTCTCTCCTGAGGTAGAAAGGCTTTATTCCCTTCAGCCGCCCTCTTAATGCATTCGTCCAAATTCTTGCCAAATAACATACTCCCGTGAAATGGCAAAGAACACAAACTATTCTTGGAGGAAGCATCGGCTGCCCAAGATCTGAGCCAAAGTGCTCGCCTAGAGGAAATCGAGAAGGACATATTTCTAGCAAGAATCCTTACCAGATCCACTGCAGCTTCTGATGAAAAATCAATTGCTAGACGCATATCTCTTAGGTCCTCCAAAATGGAAGAACGGCTTCTGCCACTCCTTATGTCCCCTTCCAGCTCCTGTATCCAAACCTTCCTCCATCCCCCTTAATCGCGTTCGCGCGCTTATTCAAACGAAGCCGCGCGAACGCTTAGAAACAACCGAACGTCGCGCATGCGTCCAGGAGCCCACGAATGCCGCGCAGGCGCCCATGAGACTCCCGAACGCCGCGCAGGCGCACAGGAACTCCCGAACGCCGCGCAGGCGCACAGGAACTCCCGAACGCCGCGCAGGCGCACAGGAATTCCCGAACGCCGTGCAGGCACAGGGGAACGCCAGCACATAGAGATTACAGTTTTCTTAGAGAAGGAGACCGATTACCTACTGTATCTTCAGAAGAATAATCTTACAGGTAAGAACCAAATCATGGAGCCATTACCTTGATTCTGGGGGGAGATTCCAAGTCCGGAAACCAGCCATAATTCCATGTTATTCCACTTGCTACATTATTGGAAGAATCATAGGAAGGTAAAACCCCCGGTCACTAAAGGGGTTCTCTCCAGGGGGACACCTTTGCGCAGGGTCGTATACTGGAGACTTCCCAGGGGAGAGAGGGTGAACTCCCCAGGGGCCAGAGGAACTAATCCTCAGGTAAGCCATAAAGAAATTCTAATAGTCTGAAAAGACCGACATGTCCTAGGGATAGGACAGGAAAAAAAGACTGGGGAAGGAGGGGTAGGAGGTGGTACTTATAGAGCTTAATAATTATTCCTGTCCAATGGGGATAGGGAGGAGCTACCCAATGTTGTGCTGCCATGGATATGGCCAGGAAATATATATATACATATATATTCACATACGTATATATATACATATATTAATTCTACATATATATTTATGTAATATTTTTACATAATTGGGTATCTTAATTAATTACAATTAGCGGGACCTGCCTGACAACCCATGCCGAAAGTAAAGGGAATTTAATTTGCTAGCACTATATTTAACCCTATAACTTTCCAAGACACCGAAAAACATGTAAATGGGGGGTACTGTTCTACTCAGGGGACTTCGCTAAACACAAATATTAGTGTTTCAAAACAGTAAAATGTATTACAACGATGATATCGCCAGTAAAAGTGATGTTTTTCACGCACAAACAGCACTTACATGGACGATGTTATTGCTGCGATACTTTTTACTGTTTTGAAACACAAATATTTGTGTTCAGCGAAGTCTCCCGAGTACAACAGTACCCCTCATGTACAGGTTTTATGGTGTTTTCAAAAGTTACAGCGTCAAATATAAGGCTTGCGTTTCATTTTTTTCACATTAAAATTCGCCAGATTGGTTACGTTGCCTTTGAGACCCTATGGTAGCCAAAGAATGAAAATTACCCCTATGATGGCATACCATTTGCAATAGTAGACAACCCAAGGTATTGCAAACAGGGTATGTCCAGTCTTTTTTAGTAGCCACTTAGTCACAAACACTGGCCAAAATTGGCGTTTTTTGCATTTTTCACACACAAACAAATACTAATGCTAACTTTGGCCAGTGTTTGTGACCAAATGGCTACTAAAAAAGACTGGACATACCCCATTTGCAATACCTTGGGTTGTCTACTATTGCAAATGGTATGCCATTATGGGTGTAAATTTAATTCCTGGGCTACTATAAAGTCCCAAAGGCAACGTAACCAATCTGGCGAATTTCAATTTCAAATGTAACGTGCTATATTTGACCCTGTAACTTCCCAAAACGCCATAAAATCTGTACATAGGGGGTACTGTTTTACATGTGAGACTTTGCTGAATACAAATATGTGTATTTTATTGCAGTAAAAGCAAACAGTATTATGACATTGACAGTTAAAACGTCATGTAGAACTAAAAAAATAAATCTTATTTTCTCCCATTGTTTTCATATTAAATTATGTTTCATAGCTAAATATTTGATATTTAATGAAAGCCCTGTTTCCCCTGAAGAAAAAATGATATATAATAAGGGTGGGTGCATTTAATATGAAAGAGGTGAATTACGGTTGGACAATAGTGATGTCCCGAACGGTTCGCGAACGGTTCGCCACGAACAGTTCGCCAGGGACTCATCATTGAGTAAACTTTGACCCTGTACCTCACAGTCAGCAGACACATTCCAGCCAATCAGCAGCAGACCCTCCCTCCCACACCCTCCCACCTCCTGGACAGCTCATTAAGAATGCAGCTTCACAATGAATGTAAAATGGATGCTGTCCAGGAGGTGGGAGGGTCTGGGAGGGAGGGTCTGCTGCTGATTGGCTGGAATGTGTCTGCTGACTGTGAGGTACAGGGTCAAAGTTTACTCAATGATGAGTCCGTGGCGAACCGTTCGTGGCGAACCGTTCAGCGAACCGTTCGGGACATCACTATTGGACAGACATGTAGCGCAAATGCCAGGTTTTGTTTACATTTTGTTTCATTCACAACGTGTACATTTGGCTCCGTCCTTAAGGGGTTAAAGTATGTCTAATGCTGTACTTGCTTTAATTGAAAGTTTGATTGTTAAATTCCTTTTCCACAGCACAGATGTTATTTGTAATCTCTATTGAAGGGGTTATTGAAACTATTCATATCATTTAGATATTTGTTATATAGGCTTAATATTCATGCTCTCTCTTAGGGGTTTAAATAAAAATTGACACATTTACAATTCTTCCCCCCTTCCGCCCCCCCCCCCCTCCACAAAAAAAAGCAAAAACATAATACATACAGTACACATGCATACTGTCATGCCTAGAGTATCCTTTCCCTTTAACTCTGGCATGTTGAACTATGTCTAATTTTGACATCATTCGAGTCTTTCTCTGCAAATATGCGGTACAAACAGACTGGAGTAAAAGAGATAGAGAGATACAAACACTTGCAACCTGTTTAAAACAAATCATTCCTTTAGAGTGTCTCATTCTTATCATCCTAATAGTATTTTCCTAAATCTTCAAAACCAGTATCCACACCAAATTCCAAGTGTAGTGTAAAACAGATATTCCCTTAGTGACTTTCATTCTTAGCATCCGGATAGTATTTCCTTTTTTATCCTTATGCCTTATTCTTCTCAATTTTTCCCTTTTTCCCTCCCTTTTTCTTCCAATTGTTTTTGTTCAATCCTCATTCTAAGGTGTATAACCTTTCTTTTTAAAAGTGAATGTGTCAATTTAATTATATTATTAGCTTAATGATTTGTCATAAATCTTATCATCTAATCCTTTTTCCTTAATAACTATTGTATTACAAACTGATTAATCATAGCTCTATATCTATTTCTTCTCTAAAATGTAACTACCCATATAGCTATGTGCATTCAGTAATAAGGTGATCCTAATCAAATCATCACAGTGGCATCATTAAATCAGCTTCAATGATTTCAAATATAACGTGCCATTAAACAACACTTTTACCTCCATTTATACTATACAGAAGTTAATTCTAGTTAACAAACTATTTTGTCAGACTTATTTATTAGAAATTAGCATTTTAATTTAACCGTGTCTCTTCATAACTCAGTTTATATCATGTTACATAATCTTGACACTGTCCATACTATTATATTTTGTATTATTTACATCCCCAGGTGATTACTAAAATGTAATCTATAGATCTTATTTCTTATATATTATTTAAATGTCTATATCAATACTTTAGTATCATTGTATCCTTATTCATTTCGTTGTGAGAGAAGACGAGTAAAAAATAAATAAATAAATACATCTAGAACTGCTATCACTCATACCAACTAGTCCCTGCATGAGCACTTTCTATATGCTTCCCAAAATCCACAAAGCAGGTAATCCTGGAAGACCCATGATTACAGGAATGGGAACTCTCACAGAACAGATCTCAGGACTGGTAGAAAATACCCTAAAACCTCTTGTCACAAACACCCACAGTGTGATCAATTTGTTTGTGACATCTCTAACTGCACTGTCATACCTTAAATAGTTAATGTGTTGGTTCACTTTAAATCTTGTCATGTAACCCGGAACAGGATATAGGTGAAAGGATATAGTTCAGTTGTGAGGTGAAGACTCGGAATAAAGAGATCCTGGTTAAGCTCCTGAATCCTCTTGCAGTGTCTTATGTCAATTCAACACATGGTACCAGAATTGGGGTACAGAAAACAATGGTAAGCAGCTGCAGCACAAAAAAACACTCCACCCTGGATTTAGAATTTGGCAATGTATCAAAGAATTGGGCAAAATGGAGGGAGCTGATAGCGCTGGTTTATGCAGGACCAGATGCAGCACATTGGACTGACCAGCAAAAGGCATCATACTTTCTAATCTGTGTGGGTCAAACAGGTCGTGATGTATGCAAAACATGGTGTGCAAGTGGACACATAACTGCAGAGGACAAGAAAAAGACTGAGGCAGGGGCGTACCAAGAGCATTTGGCACCCGGGGCGGGTTCTATTTTGGAAATCCCCCCTCAACTTTTAAATGTAAAAAACATTTTTTTTCAATGTATTTAGCACTGAGCAGTGTTTGTGAATGTAGGGGTGTGTTTGTCTGTAGTGTTAGCGTTTGAATGCAAGCATGCATTTGTGTGTTGTGTGGTATTTGTATACAGTGGTATGGTTATATATAATGGTGAGGTTTGGATGTTTGTATGAAATGCATGAGTGTATTTGTGTGTAGTGTTGGCGAGATTTTGAGATGTATGCACATTTACACATACACAGACATACACACATGCAGATATATATACACACACGCAGATACACTGTGCTCTGCAGGCTGGCATCTGACAACACATTTGCATATAATTCACATTAGCCACCCAAATTTCCTGTTGTGGGCTGGCTGACACCTCTTAATTTTGATCTTTGTTTAGCAGATAACCCCCTATTTGCTATCCTTATGTCGGCTTGCCATATTTAAGGACACCAAATAAGGAGCTATCTGCTAAGCAGCACCCTCATTTGGTATCTTCAAATATGGAAATCTCACATATGGGCACCAATTCAGGGAATTATCTACTAAACAGCTAAACGGTTAAAATAAAAAATTCCCTTTTCTTATTTTCAGTTGTTTAGTAGATAAATCCCTTATTTGTTATCCTTATGTGGGATTGCAATATTTAAGGACACCAAATAAGGGAGCTATCGACTAAACACATACAAAGAGATACACACAATCACACACATAATCACAGATATACACAAACTCAATCACAGACCCACTCACATACAATCACAGACACACAATCACATACACACATTTAATCATTAAGAGGTCCACCCAGCCTCCCTACCTTGCTCTAGAAGAGCTGGAGTCCCTGGTGGTCAGTGGTTGCTGCTGGGATCTCTGTGCTCTTCCTGCACAGGTCCCTCGCACGCCCTGTAATGACGCCGAGGCCACGATGACACCATATCCTG